GGTGCCTCTGAGGAGGGGGTGCCATGAAGCAGGTTCTGCAAGTACTGGAAGAACTGCAAACTGGATTCAGTTGCTCCCACAGGAAGGACCTGCCACTGCCGCAGTGAAGAAGTGCTGCTGGCATGACACTGACAAGCAGAAGCAAAATCCACAGGCAGCAGGGGGAAAGAGGCAAGTTGCTTCTTCCCCTCCCAGACTTGCAGTTTCCCTCTGGCACCCCTCATCAGTGTAGCCCAGGAAGCCAGCTGAAGAGCAGGATGTGGTCTGCCCAGCGCCAGCCCCAGCACCACACAGCAGAAGGGTGGGTTGAGATCTGGGGAGGGGGGAGAAGAGTACCAAACTGACAAGACTACTGGGAGGATTAAATGAAACAAACTATGTAAACTTGTTATAATGCCTGAAACAAAGTAGCTGTCCAATAAAAGTCAATTCCCTTCCTCATTCCCCAAACTGTGGCAAGAGCTAATACATGAAGACAAGGATATGTGAGAGTTCAACAGTGCATGTTCCCTATGAGGCATCCAGATTTTCTTATCTCTTATCAATGACCATATATCAAATGGTACGTTAGTCTTATTAGGTTTTAACCTATCCATTTTGCAAAGTTTCACAATCTCCACACCCAGTTCACACACGCACGTACACATGGATGTGTATGCATACATGTTCCCCTTAATCCCAAACAAAATTCTCCACAATGAAGGCAAAAGATATAAATGTGATCAAAACACAGAACTGGATGAACTCAATACCAATAGTAGGAAGCAGAGTACTCTCAATAATGTTGAAAAAAGTATACATCGAATAAAATTTTAGTGTTTTGATTTAAGCTATTTTTCAAAGCTGTAAAAGGAGGAAATGATAGTGGGTGTGGCACTGGTGGGAAGCAAAAATCACTAATTTCATCTGGGACTTCATTAAGAGAAGTATGGTGTCCAAAAAGAGGCAAAGAACAACACATCTTTACTCAGCTCTGGACATCACATTTTAGGATGGACATTAACAAACTAGAACTTTGTCAGTGGCTCAGAGCTAGAAAATGTGTTGGTTAAAGGCTAGTCTTTTCACAAATGGTTGAAAACACTCATCACATTTCATTTGGAAGAGAGACACTGATGGTGATTATGTGGACCTAACACTCCAGTGCTGCCAAACAAGGAGAGTGAATTCAGAAGCTCCACAACGCAATGGATCAGATTATCATCTGGAAACGTAGCTCAAGAGATTTTCCTGTAAAAGTGTGACCACTGAGGCTTGGGAATCCCAAATACAGCCAAGGTGATTTGGGGGGTGAACAGAGTCAGGGAAGAGGTAATAACTAAGCTGAAAATGGAAAAACTATTTAGAATTCTGCTTAAAGAAAGAATGCGTTATCAAAAGGGAAATATTCAGCGTAAAGGCTAGAAAAAGACAACTTAAGTGGAAAGAATGAATTGGTACATTTCCAAGAAAGAAAGGGGGAAATCATCTAATTTGATTTGTTTGTTTTGATTTTACAACCCTCTTATAATATAGTTTCCCACGTAGATTTCCCCATAGATAGAATATAACTGCAGCACACCAATTCCAGTTTGCCTGATAATCATAATCTTCACTCTGCTCAGAGCTTTCTTTCTCCTTCAAAATTCCAGGAAATAGTTTCCCCATTTTTATGGATAATTAAATTGAAATTTGGCTAATAAGTAGCAGAACTGTGATTCACCTCCATGTGTAACTGACTTTGCACTCCATCACAATCAGGAGAGCCGGAAGTCCCAGAAAACAGAGAGAGATGTACAAGAAAGTGGTGACAATCTGGTAGTGAATATCGCAAAGAAATGAAGAAGAATGAGGGCTGAGAAAAATGCCCTTATATTTAGTAGCCCAGAGGACTTGTCAGCAAAAAAGTACCAGAAGCCAGACTACACTAGATTAATAAGCAAGAAAGTAATAAAGAAACAGGCGTTGAGCATAGAAAACTTTTTCAAAAAATCTGGCTGCAGAACAAAGAACAGTGTCATAAAGAGATCTGTTTCACTTTAGCCCTAATAGGCTCTTTCTGCCAGCCATTAAATATAGCCACTCTGCAGAGAGCTATGGGAAAACCGGTGAAGATCCCCCAACCACAGTGTCAGTCCAGAGGAACAGATTCTCTGTAAATGGAGAGATTGAGATGGGCATCTTACTCTGTGAGTGAACATTTTGGGTCCAAACAAATGGGTTTCTTAGAGTCCATTTGTTTTTTACTTTCAGAACACATTTTCCATGATGAAAAGCCAGTGGGAAAAATACAATTCAGTTTACAATGTTTTAAAAAACCACTTTTCTGGAACATATATGTTTAGTTAACTGACAATTTAATAACAATCTCTTGGAAAGAAGGCATATGTTTATATGTGAAATGATAAAATGAATTTTTTTCTTTCTTTTGGCAATTCAACTTTTTTCCCCTAAGAGAATGATGTTTATTTCTCTTGGTGCTCATGATGTTTTAATATTAACTTACCTTTTACTGAGAAATTTTATATAATGGGATCCCTCCCAGTGAATTTAAATATAAGAAAAGTCTTCAATCTAGAATTAAAATATCTGTTTAATGTCTCAAAAATACCAGAAGCCTCTATCACAGTCAAAAAAATGTGTACTTCAGTAGAATTTACAGCAGGGGTTGAGAGAACAGTGCATAGTTTAAAGTACATTTCATAGCTTTCAATGCTGCTAGAAAAAGCATTCCAGCCATCTAGGATATCAGAGCATGATTTTTCTTTTTTTAATGATAAGCAGATTTCAAATATCAATGTTTTATTATGTTTAAATTCCAGCCCTTTTCCTCACTGTTCATAGTTATGTATCTGTTGGTATATGGAAATGAGACACACCAGAAATTCTGAGCAGTGATATGAAGCAGAAATGCATAGCCACAGTGTGTTATCTTTTACTAAATTATAGTTGGCACACAGATAGAATAAGATTTGGCCAATCTTTTTGGTCCTTCTTACAACAAAGTTGGCTAACAATTGTCTGATTCTTTCCTTCTTTTTTATTTTTCCTCTCCTCACCCTCCCCCATGTCTGGAGCTTGGGGATAAATCAAACCATCTTATCTAAAATTTTTTTGGTTGACAGAAAACTCAAATATTTAAATTGAATTCCTTATGGGGCTACCCGCTTTTTTTTTTTTTTTTTTCCTGGCTCTGTTTTTTTTTAAAAGATACAGAGCTTTAGAAATGTAAAGTGTTTTGATCTTTCAAGAGTCCTGCATTGATTGAGCAATAAAAACTGATTTATGCTCTGTGATAGCATCATAAGGTTTTATCACTGCAATGCAATATAAATTAACCTTATCACCCAGACCCTTTGTGCATTCCTACTTTTCTCTATTCATGATGTGAATTAGTTCTTATTTCAACATATTCACAGATAAGGAAATATTTTAGGTAAACATATGTTATTAATGTGTACCTATAACTGTGGAAAGAAAAGCCAAGAAAAAATGAAAGGAAGGAAGGAAGGAAGGAAGGAAGGAAGGAAGAAAGAAAAGAAAGAAAGAAAGAAAGAAAGAGGGGAGGGAGGGAGGAAGGAGAGAAAGATACAAGAATTATAGTCGAATGCCAGGATGATCTCAAAGAAACAACTTTATTTCTACTTCAAAACAACATGTAGGACTCTGGCCTTGGTTGTATGAAGTTAGGATAATTTTATAAATAAAAAGCATATTCCCTCACATTAGAATGTCTAGATTTGAATTCCAGTCCTACTCCTTATCAGATGTATGGGCTTGGGCAACTTAATTTTTCTCTATTCCAGCTTCTTTATCTGAAAAATGGGATACTCATAGCACCCATCTCAGAATTACAGTGAAGATTAAATAACACATGTAAAGAGTTAGAAGAAAACCTGGCACATTGTACGTGCTCAATAAATGTTAGTTATTTTCACTTTTCTTATCACCCTTCATGTTCCTTAAAGCCCTCATATATAATCACCTAAGACACTGAAAGTTATGATTTTTGTTCATATTATGACCCTCTAACATTTTTCCTTCTAGGTTCATCCACATTCTTTTACTTCCAAAATTTTGTTCTTCTATTTCAACTTGACAGTTCGATTTTTTTTTGTACTCGTTAGGAATCAAGAATTTGGGTGAGAAATCTCAACAAGAAAAATTTACCCATCTAGTAAAATGTACTAATATTTATTGGATACCTAAGAGCAGATTATAAGAGAAACCTTATTTTTTAAATAGAGAAATAAACTTTTACAAGTTTCCAGAAATAAATTCTACCTATTAAAATCAGATTCAATATCCATAGTTAAATATTTCCATACTAATAAAATTATTTAATTTAAAAAGGGTAAAACCCCAGATTCCTTTTCTCCAATAAAAACATTAGTTCTCTGACATTTTAATCCAAAGAAAAAAGCCATTTAAAATTTAAATTCCTTGCAGCCCCATTTTTCTAATACTAAGGACAAAGCTCCATGTGAAAAAAAAAGGAAATGAGAAAAATCAGGCATTTCATACTGTGGTGAAGAAGGGGCAACACTGATGTGACCAGACAATCGGCAGACCACTCTAAGGGTGAGAGGCCGGGACAGAACGTGTCCATCTCCTCAACTGATTTGTCAGCACAGTCATTCATTCATCAAGTCTAAACTAATAAGCGATCACTTCTCCACAGTAAGTGTGGAGGTGGAGGCAGGGGTGTAGGAGTGGGACAGAATGAAGGGGAGGAAGTTCAGACCAATTTTGAGAGTCCTAGATCAAATAACTAACAACATGATGCCTTGTAAGCAAGGACTCTGTTGGACTTCCCAAAGTTGAGTCTAAGAAAAGAGCTCACGGTTGAGCCCCGAGGGCATGTGTATAAATTCCTTCCCTACTCTTTCATCAGTTTACAAACGTCTTCAATACTTTTACCTAGATGCCATGCTGGCTAGGTCGGCCCACAGATCAGAGCAGACTTAAATGAACTTCCTCAGAGCTGGCGGTCACTGTCTGTGGGTAAGTGGATAACTTACCCATACTCATCTTGATTGGCAGGTTTTCTCTGCTTGCTGCTTCCACTAGATGTCTCCGGACTTCCATCACTGCCTCTTTGTGCTTGGTGTTCAATAAGGCTTCCCACAGGGCTTTGGCTGCCGGGTCACTGCGATAAAACCACAGAAAGAGCTTTAGGTAAATTTCTACTGGATAACGGAAAGGGCGGCGAGCAAAATAATTTCTTAAGCATCTTTTCTAAGTACTAATGTAGTTCTTCCCACTGACAGTTTTAAGTATTAGGATTAAATAAAGAACATCTCACCCATTCTAATCAGCACAAAATATTGAGAAATTAAGGAAACAATAAAATCAAGCCACCTAAAAGGGGGGGCATGCTGTGCTATGAGAAGTATGGGAAAACTGTATGACATTTTTTTTTGAGAATTTGCACTTAAAAGTATTTCAGAGTATAACTGAACATTGCTAGAGTAACATATAAATGTTATGTAAGCCAAAATTAAATACATGTCCAAAAATGATGTATCAGTGATTACAGGCATATAAATTTCAGGTAATGTACTTGTCTGAGAAACAGAAGGCAATCAGCAATGAGAATTTCTATTCAAAAATTACTCAACAGAATTCCTAACAAGTAGATTTCCTAGTGAATGACAATCAGGAATTAGGCTATGAAACGATGGCCTTAAGTAGCCCACTTTGGACCTTGGGTTGGAAGGACAGCACTGACAAAGCCCTTACAGTTAACCGTTGATAAGAGCACGAAGCAGGGCATTATGCAGGGTCTCATCTGGGCTCACTTCTCCAACAGCCCTCTGTCTCACCCAAAGTGCCACATCCCCATTATAAATGAGTACAGTGTTCTTTCCGGAAGATCTCTGCATGTAGCCAAGTATACACATTTGTAGTAACGTTTTAAAAACTGAGTACAAAGAAACAAAGATGACTTCTTTCCCTTTCTAAGGACATTTTCCTCTACTTAAAGCTCCAGAAACACCTCCTACTATCCAGTTAGCAATAGTTTAAAAATTAATACATTTTTAAAAGTTTTATGTTAAAAGTTGTATCTAATAAGATATCAATTTAGCTCTAAAATTATACCTAAGGTTTATCTTTCACATTTGAATTTGATTTGGAATGATGTATTTCAGACTGAGTTTAATGTCTGACACATAATAAAAACAACTACTATTTAATGAAAGGTTATTATTATCTATTTTTTCTGCATTAACTAACATCACTGCTCAACATATTCCACTTCTTTTGATCTGACCAAAACTGTCATCATTAATATTAAAATTAATATTCTAAGTTTAATTTAAATGAGCAGGTAACTGCATGCCAAGTCCTTTTCTCCGTGGTTGGAATATAGAACAAAACAGGGCAAAAGCTTTCAATGATTTATTGTCTGGAAGAAGAGACAGACATGTAAGCAAAGTTGCTCCATGCTAAGGTGGAAGGGGAGGGGCAGTAGAAGTAAGTGTAAAAGAGACGGTGGGAGCTACTCTAGGAGGGCCCTGCCTTCCTTGCCAAGGCTTGTTGACTTCAGTCTGTAAGTGATGAGCAGCCAATCAACATGAGATTGATTTCACTTTCTGAGAAGGGTAGCATAGTTCAGCAGTCATGAACAAAGTCTTTATCATCACTCAAAACTAGGTCTATACTTATAAGTGGAATCTAAAAAATAATACAAATGAGTCTATTTATAAAACAGAAACAGACCCACAAACATAGAAAACAAACTTATGGTTACCAAAGGGGAAAGGGAAGAGGGGGAGAGATAAAATAGGACTATGGGATTAACAGATACACACCACACTATATATAAAATAGATAAGCAACAAGGATTTACGTATTGCACGGGGAACAACATTCAACAACTTGTAATAACTTATAATGGAAAATAATCTGAAAATATATATATATATATATAACTGAGTTACTTTGCTGTACATCTGAAACTAACACAATATTGTAAATCAACTATACTACAATAAGAAAAAAAATTCTTTTTAAAGCTAGGTCTATTTGCTATGGGGCTTTGGGAGAGTTACTTAATTTCTCTAAAGCTCTGAAGGCAATGGAGAACCACTGAGGAATTTTGAGCAGGGGAGGTACACTCCTCCCAGTTTCCCAAATTTATGGTCTGCAATCAGTCCCTACTTTTATTCTCCAAAGCACCGCAAGCCACAGGGATTTCTTCTATACTCTCAACTCTACATACAGAACCTCTAGAGTAGAACTCTACTGCTGCCCTCTTTTCCATGAGAATAATACAGTGTCTCCAAGATCACAGTATGTCAGCTAATGCTGTGGTTGCCCCATCAGACTACTGTAATGTTTAAAATATGGCTTCTGGGGTCAGATAAATCTGAGTTCAAATCCCACCATTCTCCCTTCACCCACAGCAGCTCCATGGCCCCTTTGAGCCTCCTCAGGCACTCCAAGCACAGGGACCTCTTACCCTCCTTTGCCAGGAATGCTCTTCCTACCAACATCCCTCTCTCTCTTCAGATGTCTGCCAAGATGTCACCCTCACCACCCGTGTAAAAGAGTAACGACAGCTCACCCCAGCAACTTATTCCAGCATACCCTTCTCCCTCACACGGTTTTAGTGTCCTGCATAATTCGTATTACCATCTGATTCATTCTATGTTTCCATGTTTCTCTGTTTCTTGTTTAGCTCCCTTATGGAACATAAAGTCCTTCTATGAAAGCAGAGATTTTTTTATACTCATTGCTAATTCCCCACTACCTAGAATAGGGCCAGGTACACTCAACAAATACTGAATGAACAAACAATGCTTGCTAGTTGCATAACCTCATGCATGTAACTAATCCTCTCTTTTCCTCTGTTTTCTCATCTGTGAGATGGAAGTAACACAGTGACCACCTCACAGGGCGGTTGAGGGTTAAATAAGATAATGCACATAAAGCATTCTCCTGATTCACAGTAAATGTCAGGAGTTGTGTGGTGGTGGTGGTTGTTACTATTATTACTATTGCTGTGAAAGATACTGTCTTAAAATTCAATATGCTTAAGGGTTTGTAATATATTAAATGAATCCACTTATATTGAGTATGTTTTTCATACAATCTCGATTTGTTCACGTATACTGAAGTCACCTGGGACTTGTACTCTCAGGTTCTTTTCTATTAAAACATTAAGAAGAAATATATAGTTTACGTGGTCTCTGACACCGAGGTGGAGCCAGGTCACGAAAATTGCTTTGTCGATATAAACAATTCTGATTGTCTAGATACGACAGTTGCTAATGTCTACTTTCTCTCCAAATCACTTTTCTGAACATATACCCCCGCATTACACATGATCATTTAAAGTTTACCAAGCTAACATTCATGGACTAATTCTGGTTCTCTGAATAATCAGCACTGAAGAAGATCAAAGTCATACTTACCGGCAGCTCTGCTGTTTCCTGCGCCCACTTCTTCACTAAGTCATTCTTACTGCTGCTTGGTGGCTTACACATGTACTCCTATATCTGCATCTGAGTTGAGCTCAGGAGTTAATCACTGCCTTTCTCTAATATCCTCATAAAAGTTGATCCAATAGACATTTCACACTATTGAAGTTCCACATGAAATCATGTGAAACTTGGACACATGAGGTCCAATCTTGTAAGTCAAGGAAAGTTCACTGAAATTCACACTATAATTATGACAGTATATTTTATATAATTCTCTATCCTCTCCAAACTAGTTTCCTAATGAGGGAATAAGCAATACACAGAGGGCTATCACAAAAGGGTCAGTGCACTAGTGGTAGCAGCACTGTAGGCTGGTAGAAGCATGGGTTCTGGAACCCAACCACGAAGGGTTCTGGCTCTCCCACTTGCTGGCTCTATGACCCTGGCAGAGTTAATTAACCTGTCTATACATGTTTCTTCCTCTCTTGTCTGGGGATGGTGATAGTACTTAGTCAGTGGGTTGTTATGAGAAATGAATGTGCTCGTATATCTAAAGACCTAGGACAATGCCTAGCACATAATAAGTGCCCAATAAACACAGCAGCAGCAGCAGCAGTAGTAGTAATAAAAAGATCCATGGTCAACAGACAGCAGAAAGTAACACAACATTGTAAAGCAACTATGCTCCAATAAAAAAATTTTTAAATAAAATAAATCACTAAGATTTCTAGGGAAAAAAATAACAAACAGACATAGAGAACAGACTTGTGGTTCCCAAGAGGGAGGGGGGTGGGGAAGGGATGGACTGGGAGTTTGGGATTAGCAGATGCAAACTGTTATACATAATGGATAAACAACACTGTACAGCACAGTCCTACTGTATAGCACAGGGAACTATACTCAATATCCTATAATAAACCATAATGAAAAAGAATATGAAAAAGAATGTATATATAGATGTATAACTGAGTCCCTTTGCTATACAGCAGAAATTAACAACATTGCAAATCAACTATACTTCATTTAAATTTTTTAAAAAATCAGTGGTCAGGATCTTTTCATAAGATATATAGAAGGAAGCCTGTTTTAGAAGTACATTAGTCTCTTCCACATACTTACATACACATATGGATAACCACTGTCAGTAGGTTCATTTTCTAATATGAAAAGGTCAACAATATATAATGCAGAATTCATAATGAAACATATTAAGTCCAACTCAAGCAATTGCCCTACATAAGACAGTTTGATGTGAAGAATTCTGATTTTCAGGAATAAAATAAGAAACTTTACTACAGATTACTTAGAGAATCAAAGCTACAGGGAGTTAGAGTTTTTCGTACAAAGATTTTTAAGCAGTGACTTTGGTGCCAGCTTCTTACCTCATCAATTTAATCCTGAAAATCTGTAGACTGCACACTACAAGACATTTTAAAACTACAATTGTTACTTTTATGAGGAGTTCAGGTTCTATAAATATTTCCAGACTGACTTATAAAGTGGATGTACAACTTTTGGGGTAGAAGTGAACATCAGAAGTAATGTTAATCATCTTTACATCTTCAGCAGGATGCTACCTAACCCAACACAAACAAATGTAAATCTATTTCTAGTTTTTGAAGGCATCTAAAAAAAATTTTATAATATGCCTGAGAAAAACACTACAGCTTCAAACAAATCAAATTGTTATTAGATGCTATTTATACCTAATCTAAACTCT